AGCCCTTTCCTCTTGACAATACTTGAAGTTTCTTACAAAGACTGCAATCCTATGCACACTATTCTGATGTAAATCTTGTTGAACAAAATGAATAAATATGTACTGGATTGCATTGTAAGTCAGACATTTCCATAGTAATATTGCCTTTTATCCCTAACAAATGGAAGGGTCCAGGGCAGTTTCAAAAATGCTGAATAATCTTTCCTATCCTTTCCCCTAGCACAGTTTTCTTTGCAATGGAACATCATTTGCTTGAATGTTAAAGAGTATTTACTCGTTGCGCTGTCATAGAAAGGCTGACTTTTTTGTCATATGGTAAGAGAGTACAAAAGAAAATGTAACTAGCATCATCCGTATGTCAGTGGAAAGAGTAGCACACTTCCTAATGCAAGTAAGTGATATTGCATGAAAAGCTGAAATTGATTCAACATAAAAGTCAGTTTCAAAGGGGCTGGAATAGGAAACTGAGAGACATTCAGGCAAAGACTTGATTTCACAAACAGTCCTGGATAATCCACTGTAATTTAAATGCTGGAACATTTGTTACAAAAATAATTCATACTTGAAAGAAGTGTTTGCATATTTACACTACCTTACTGAAAAAAAGGGCTCCAACAGGATTCTTGACAAATAGGACACAAGGCTTAAATCCATAAGAAATGCATCTATATTTCAGGTATCTACATATGTCAGATATTTTCAGTACCACTAGAGCTGGAATAGAAGCACATAGACTTTTTTTCACCCCATTGCAGTCAGGAGAGAAGGAGGCTATTTCTGTTGATGATGCATTTTCATACAGAAAGAAAAAAGGAAGAAGTTTCAGGATTTGTCTCAGCTAAATGCTGGTGGAAACACAGTGAGAACCAACTGTTTGGAAAACAGGCACTCGCAATATGTTTGTAATATAGAAGCTCAAAGTCTTTGCCAACAATTTACTTCCCTAATCCATGGAAACACACTTCATGATAGTACTATAATAATCAAGGTACTCTAATAGTTGATGTGTAAAGGGTGAAAAATGAGACACTAGGACTATGAAAATACTTTCCCCCCTCCCACATCGCTCACAACAGTAAAACAAACAAACAAACAAACAAAAGCTCGTGGAGAGTGCTTTGTGTAGAGAGAGGAAAGATTTCACATTTATGTCAGTGGTGGCATTTGATGAGAATTCAGCTTCCATAGCAACATAAAGTTTGCAATCCGCACTTTGAAAATTGTTGTTGAAAAGCAAACTTCAGGAAAAGGCTGTGTGGTCTCCAGAACAATACAAATGCATGAGCAGGTGCCTTTATCAGACTACTGTACTTTTAAAAAATCAAGCAAAGGGGATGGATAGCTTTTGATGATAATTCATCTTCCTCAGGCTGTGCACCAAGATTTTGAGGGGAGTTCGGAAAATTATATATTAGAATCCAAAAAGTTTCATGGCTGTTGTTCAGATCACATCCGGGACGGGGTGCGTGCTTGAGCAATACCCAGCTCTCCCTCTCATCCCCTCAACACTATGCAGCATTAAAATAACCCACAAAGGGCTTTTAAAATGTTTTTAGTTTTAAGAATTGAAATGTTTATTGGAATGCAGCTCATAATTTCCCAACTACAAGCCACTTTGAGGGAACTGCTTTGTTTTGGGAACCACATCATTTGTTCGTTTAGTCGTTTAGTCGTGTCCGACTCTTCGTGACCCCATGGACCTCCTATCTTCCACATAAACATACCTTAACATAAAAGCGATTGGCTTGCACAGAGTTTTACTGGGTTGCTGAGGGATGGCCTTCTTGCATCAGCCAGCTACATTTTTTCTCGGACAGATGGAGCTCTTCAGCTCTTTTACACCAATCCACTCTCTAACCTACATGGAATTGTCATTTTAAGCATTAAGGTAAGTAATTATATGCAAACCTGCATTAAATTATGACTACTGTATATACCTACCGCTCTTTAGACTAAAGGCAAGTAAGCCATATTCTCACACTAGAAGAATACTTGATAAAGGTTCCCCTTGACATTTAGTCCAGTCGTGTCTGACTCTAGGGCACGGTGCTCATCCCCGTTTCCAAGCCGTAGAGCCAGTGTTTGTCCGAAGACAGTTTCCATGGTCACGTGGTCAGCGCGACTAGACACGGAATGCTGTTACCTTTCCACTGTGGTGGTACCTATTTATCTACTCACATTTTTACATGTTTCCAACTCCTAGGTTGGCAGGAGCTGGGACAAGCAACAGGAGCTCACTCTGTCGCATGGATTCGAACTTACGACTGCTGGTCTTCTGACCTTGCAGCGCCACCATGTCCCTTTGAAAAGGAGATTGCTACAAGTGGCAAATTTGGTGATGCTATTAAAAGACAGTATTTTTCCCCAGTTTATTTTATATATTTTTACCTCTGTGACTAGATGTACTAACAGAGAAGAGGGTGAGCAAGCAAAGGCATTCACTGTCAAATTATATTCCACAGCAATGTCACCAATGCCACACTATCATAAAAGCTAATATTAAAATCTATGTCAGTGTGAATCCGTGATTATACCATTTTACCCACTTTTGTTGATGAGTCTATATAAATGTTTGTTATTTTTTCCTCTATAGAGAGAGACGCGATCATTCTATTGAATAACACTTACAAAACCAGTAAAAATTTACAAGATAATCAAAATTATACCTTGTTTCTCCGAAAATAAGACAGGGTCTTATATTAATTTTTGCTCCAAAAACACAGTAGGGCTTATTTTCAGGGGATGTTTTATTTTTTTCCATGTATAATCTACATTTATTTAAATACAGTCATGTCATCTTCTGGTTGCTGCACAATGGTGGAGGGCGAGGTTTCATTTAACTAGGGCTTATTTTTGGGGTAGCCCTTATATTATGAGCATCCTGAAAAATCAGACTAGGGCTTATTTTCAGGTTGAGTCTTATTTTCAGGGAAACAGGGTAGGATTCAGAAGATGATGCAAGTCCAAAGCTTTCTGTCCAAATGATTTTTTTTTAAAACCACTTTGGTTCTTCCGGAGTAAAGTCTAAATTCCTAAACCAGGTGTCTCATTTAGTGTCTTCTGCACTACTGTACTGTATGTACCTGGTTTCATAATGACCCTTTTTCCTACTTATTTTCCACCTGTTTGATCCTTTGAAAATAATTTTGTTCTTAAATACCTCAAATTACAAGCCAGTAAGCTTTAGTTAAATCCAAATTACTGTATATTTCTTCTTTTCTTTATGAAGGTAAAATGCAGGTTATTTCAGTTAATAAGTGAGCAGAAAAAGAACCTTCCATCACCTATGCACTTTCCCCTAGAACTTCACACATTTTCTCCACATCAGCTGATGTCACCCTATACATACTACTCATACGTTACCACTTAAGATGGAGATATGGACTTACAGAAGACAGATTTCTAGTCTATCTGCAAGCCAGTTAAACTAAATTATCTGGATTAAGGATACCCCACACATAATCCTATTTTAAAGTGTCCACTTGTTTGCAACACAATTCTGTTTAGATCAGGGTTCCCCAACCCCCAGTCTGCGGCCCGGTGCCGGTCCCTGAGGCCACATCAGCCGGGCCACGGGGACACAGGGGCAGCCATTACAATTCCCCAACGCCCAGTCCGCGGCCCGGTGCTGGTCCCTGAGGCCACATCAGCCGGGCCGCGGGGACACAGGGGCAGCCATTACAAAAAGGGAGGGGTGAAGTGGGCTTGAAAATCTGTTGCTGCTGGGGCTGCTTCCTCAGAGGTGATAAGGTGGAACTTCTATGGGGGGGGCTTGGGCAGAGGGAGGCCAGCTCACTGTATTCTTAAGGCCCAGTCCGCGGCCCGGTGCTGGTCCCTGAGGCCACATCAGCCGGGCCGCGGGGACACAGGGGCAGCCATTACAAAAAGGGAGGGGTGAAGTGGGCTTGAAAATCTGTTGCTGCTGGGGCTGCTTCCTCAGAGGTGATAAGGTGGAACTTCTATGGGGGGGGCTTGGGCAGAGGGAGGCCAGCTCACTGTATTCTTAAGATGAAACTATAATGGGAAGAAGCTGAGCCCATTGATTTCAGTTCATAGAACCCACAAGTAGAATTGTATGTATTAATTTCCTTTTGTTTATATTTACTTGTTTTATGTGTTTGTAAGCCTAGAGTGGTCGCAAGACCAGATAGGTGGGATATAAGTAGAATAAATAAAAATATGTTCAACTGTAGCCCTTTCCAACTGTTCTCTACATACAGTGGTGCATCGCTTTACGATTGCCCCGCATTACGACAAAACTGCATTACAACTACGTTTTTGCGATCGCAAAACGATGGTCTGAATAGGTTTTTTCCCTTTGCGATGATCAGTCCCTGCTTCGGGAACCGATTCTTCGCAAAACGACAATTTTCCGACAGCTGATTGGCGGTTTCAAAATGGCAGCCGGGTAAATAAAATGGCTCCCCCCTGTTTTCTGGGACGGATTCCTCGCTGCACAGGCACTGAAAATGGCCACCCTATGGAGGATCTACGCTGGATGGTGAGTTTCCAGCCCTTTGGAACGCATTAAATGGGTTTTAATGTGTTTCAATGGGCTTTTTATTTTTGCATTACGTTTTTTACAGCGATTTTGCTGGAACGAATTAACGTTGTAATGCGAGGCACCACTGTACAGGGTTGTCAATCCAGTGAAAGTGGAGAGGCTAGCTCTGCACTGCTCCCTTGTTACTCATGTAAGCAGCGCTTGACAAGCCTGAAAACAAGACCTGCTTTTGCCTAGGCTTTGCATATGAACAAGAACCCTGGAAAATCTGAGTTTTCTTCTCCACAGATGTGTTGCTGTTCACCAGCTCTGGTTCTTTCTGTGTTGATGACTTTGGATCAGAGGATAATCGAATAGGGTTTGTAATTAACTTTGGCTGACTGTATTGGTGAAGTGCCACACTTTCAACAGTTTTAATATCTACAGTAAATATAAACACTAAGCACACTTTGTCATGAGAATGCAGCAGAACATAGAAATTTTAAAAAATGCAGGCTACAAGTGGTGTAGGTTTTTTAATAGAATATAGAACATTCAAAATAAATCAATATAAACTGCACATATGTAAGTGGCCTTTTAACATGAACCCTTGCATGCTAAAGTCCTAGATTCCTTTGTAGATGTCTCACACATACCAGAAATATCAGCCACCTTTTTAATGTCTTCACTAGTATCTTTTAAAGAACAAAAAAGTCCAGGAAGATCAAGAACAGAAGGAATAATATAGTGAGGAACTGGAGAAGTGTCTTTTGGGGCCATTGCAGTTTTATTTACCCAAACAGTTGCTTTCAAACCTGCATTCAGGCCTCCCTGAATATCTGCATCTAGAGAATCACCAACCATCACACAGTCTTCAGGCTGAACTCCTAGAAGTTCACAACAGTGATGAAATATAGATGATGCTGGCTTTTCTTCTTTTTGTTCTCCTCCTACAACAATGGCATCAAAATATGGCTGGCAAGCACAAGCTTCAATCTTTTCCCTTTGGATCTGTGCAACTCCATTTGTTAGCAGAAGCAGTTGGAACTCCTTTCTGAGCTCCCTAAGCATCTTTTGGGTCTCCTCTGTCAAGGTCAAATGCTGCAGACGGGTAGTTTTCCAAAGGAAATAACATTCTGTAGCCAGATCCTGATTTGATGTCCCACCCATTACTTCTTGTATAGCTTCTTCCCAGTGTTGAATCCGGCGGTCAGTAATAGACATCTTAGCTGGATTATAGCACTCATTGAGAAGTTTGACTTGAAATATATGACAAATCATGTGAGCTTCTCTTTCATCATAATGATGCACTGACTGTAAGTTGTTGATCACCTATGAAGAGAGAAACCAGAAAGAACAGAATCGATTAGGTTTCTTCCCTCACAAGATTCATTGAGAGGATGAAAAGTGTATCTCAGTTACAACTTCTGTAATATTTAGAATTCTTTGAAATGCATCCAGAAATAACAGAAATTGGTACAACTCATTTTGTTACATAGTTAAGGCAGCAAAGCAGCAACAGGTAAAGTTAGGGAAGCTACTCAGGGCCACACATACAGCCTTTTAAAGCAAAGCGTGCTGCTTATATACCAGGGCCACACATATAGCCTTTTAAAGCAAAGCGTGCTGTTTATATACAGTGGTGCCCCACTTGATGGTTACCTCATTAGACAAGGAAATCGCTTAACCAGGGCCACACATATAGCCTTTTAAAGCAAAGCGTGCTGTTTATATACAGTGGTGCCCCACTTGATGGTTACCTCATTAGACAAGGAAATCGCTTAACGATGAAGTCACTGGTGCCCCACTTGACGGTTACCTCATTAGACGAGGAAATCGCTTAACGATGAAGTTTTTGTGATCGCTTTTGCGAAGTTTTAAATGGAAAAACCACTTCACAATGATCGGTTCCCTGCTTCGGGAACCGATTTTTCGCTTTACGATGATCAGAAAACTGTTTGCAACACAATTCTGTTTAAAATGGCTCCCAGCTGTGCTTAGGACGGATTCCTCGCATTACAGGCAACAGAAAATGGCTGCCCTATGGAGGATCTTCGCTGGACGCTGAGGCATTTCGCCCATTGGAACGCATTGAGCGGTTTTGAATGCGTTTCAATGGGCTTTTTCATTTCGCTTGACAAGGATTTCACTTAACAGCAATTTGAACGGAACGGATTATCCTCGTCAAGCGAGGCACCACTGTAATGCCCCATAGAGCTTAAAGCACTTTCTGAACAGTTTACAATTTAATTATGCAGGCTACACATTGCTTCCCCCCCATGAGCTGCATACTCAGTTTACCAATCTCAGAAAGTTGGAAGGCTAAATGAACCATGAGCTGGCTACCTGGGATTGAACCTAGGTCGTGAGCAGTTTTAGCTGCAGTATAGCAATTTAACTACTGTGCCATGAGGCTCCAATTTTAATCATTATCCCTACAGCACTATCAGCATTTAATTCTGCATTTACAAGAGCTCTCCTCTTGTAGAAAATAAGTTGTAACACACATAGAGGGGAGATAAGCACTTCAAATAAATTCACGTTTTAACTTTACTACAGAAAATTGTTTAATTGATGAAGACCACATAACTCAAAATAGACGTTTTACTTTAAAATACCTAAAATTTATTCTTCTCTATTTTGATACAAGTAATTGTAATACATGTTACTATAGCATTATAAGAATTCAAGACTGATTTCACACTATCTGTGCAAAAGCAAAAAGAGTGGCCAACAGGTTATCTTTTTATATATCACTGTACTCTCACCAGAGCCAGTGTGGTTGTAGCAGAAAGAGTGACTGAGTCAAATCTCCCCTTGGCCATGAAAACTCACAGTGACAGGTGGGTGGCAGGGGTAAAAAAACACTTCTTAAATATCTTGTATCATTACATAAAATGTAGTAATTTTTTTCCTTTGTGTGCTATATTTATATGTATAGGCGGGATATAAAATAAATAAATAAATAAATAATATAAAATGCCACCCCATTAAGGTCACCACAGATTGACTGCCACTTGATGACACATCACTCATAAAGTTTCACTTCACACCTTCTTATTTGGGATTAGTTAACTCAGAAAAGATAGCTTCTATTCACCTCTCATCAATATATGATATGATGTGCCTGAGGTTAATTGCAACTCATCACACCAGAGTATGTATGCCACCATTACCAGTTAGAGCCACAGATCCCTGTTTTGTCTGTCTGTCTCTGGGCACAAAGAGTCCTCATGAAAAAGATCCGCAATGCACCCACAGCATTTCCTACCTTCCAAGAGACAACAAGGGGCTTTTTTCTGAAAACCAAGGCTGACCTGGGAGCTTTTGCAGCTTTCGGCCAGAATGCAAACACCCACACACCCCCTATATACACACAAATCAAGGCACACTATTTTGGCACAGGAAGCAAACCATAAAATGGCACACGTCTCATTATCCCTGATACCGAAGCAACTATAGCGGGACCTCAAAATTGCCCAATAAATTAACAATCTGACCCCCACCCGCCTTTACGCCACCCCAAAATCTGTTGCCTGTGGATGATGGGAGCCGGTTCCTACTCTATGGGGGGTCGGGTCACGTTAACCAGCCCAATTCCCAGTAGGAAGAATCCTCTGAATGATAAGGCTGGCTGGGACACGAGACTTCTCCTTCTCTCTCTCCCTCCCTCCACCATCACCAGAAGGCTGCAACCGACAGTACTTCCTCAACAGCTCTCTGGCCGGCCGCGGCGGTGTCGACCAACGTGTTGTCCAAGTCGAAGAAAATCGCCTTGACTCCTTCCAGCCCCATTGGCGGCGGCGGCGGCGGCAGCACCCTCACCTTCCAGCGCGCGGTCGGCTCGTGCAGCGCCGCCCCTCGAGGCTCCGGCTTCCCTAGTCTCGCGAGAACTGGCGCGCTCCCGGGGAAGAGCGGGGGAGGGGCCGTCCAGGTCTGGGACTGGGGGGGCAGATTCCTGTGCCCATAGAGATGTTCTCTAGTAGAGAAGTGCATACCTTGACGAGCTTACAAAGCCAGTCCAAGTTTCAGTTTACAATGAATCTCAACCCACCTCGCCTGTCAAAGTGACATAAGTGGCTAGATTGAACTGGGCTGAGCCGGAGTATTTTCGGTACCGTTTGTTCTTAAGCCAACCGCATGCCTGCCTTCGGTATTACGACTCTACCCTCTCGCCACTTTAACCTGATCCCACCCTGGAATCTTCACACCAGGAGGGCGCTGAAAGGCCGCGGTCAAGCCTCTCCCTGCCCATTCGCTTTGTATCTAAGCAGCAACGACGGTCAAATCTTTAAAATGCCCGTTCCTTTTTTTTACCGACGGCTTTCATTCCCCCCCAGCCCGGGTGGTTTTAAAAAAATGCCTGATGAACCCGGAAACGACCCAACAGGCTAGCGAGAGTGCCCCTCTAAAAGGAACATCTCTGACTAACTCCTCGATGCCTGCGGAGACGGTGGGAGGAGCTAAATCCTCCCGGTTCTCTTTCAGTCTTTCGAAAGCCGGTGTCGGGCGAGGGCTCGTCCTTCGTGGGAGGGGAAAAAAAGAGGGCGGCGGGTGTTCGTCTTCCTGCCCCCCCACCCCACCTCTCTCAGGCGCTCCTCCCTCCAAGAGGAGGCCGGGCTTTGAGGGCGGCTTCTTAGCGCCGGGACAAACCTTGTTCTTCAAATGGAGGGGGAGCGGCTGTGGGCCGGCGTTCCCTTTGGCCTGAAAGGCCGATCCCCGTCGAGTGGCCGCCGTTAAAGGCGACGAGTCGGCCCCAGTCCCGGCCCTTTCCTTTCCCTTCATGGCTGCCTTTGTTTTCTGCAATGCTTGTTTCCAGAAGCCCCAGGGAGCCGCTCCAAAATTTACTCTCACCAATTGTGGCCATGTTGTCTGTGAGCGGTGCCTGCAGAAAGGTAACCTGCTGCAACCTTGAGATCTGGACAGAGAAACCCGACCGTCTGTCCCTCTGTCCGCCTGCCTAAATTCATCCTGGAGGGTTCAAAGAGCTAGCTTGCCTTTCAGAATTTGCTTTTTAAGGTTGCATCCGGGGATGTTGGCAAGTCTTTGGTCCCAAGTCAGAGTCCCTGTTAAAAACAAGGTTTTCCCGCCAGATAAAAGAGATGGATGGGTGGGTTCCGAGTCACCAGCTGGGCGACAGGACTCAAGTCGGCAGTGTGACTTGAGTCCGACTTGACAGCGAGTCCTGTAGCAGGAGTCTCCATCCCTGGTGGCATCTGTGCCTGAGGTTAATTGCGGTTACTGTAGGTAGGGGGAAAGGATGGTTAAGGTGCAATCAGTGGACATGTTATATTTAACGCAAATGGGAGTGGTCCTGGTAAAACTCTGATACATATAACTTAGCTCCAACTTGTGTTGACTCTCTTGAACTTTGACGCTTCTAAACAGGTTATATCAGCAAATACCACAGCACTTTGGAATCATGTTATCAAAAGTAGGAGTTGGTCTGTGTAAATAGTCTGGAATCATTCTGCCAGAAAGTCAACGTTCTTAATTTTTAAAGAGAAAACTGCAGCTGTTCTCCATGCCACCCATATAAGCCAGAATCATCCTAGCTGTCAAGAAAGGGCCCAGGAAGAAAACATCTATCATATTCCCAACAGTTTCTCACTATTTATCCAGTATTTTGAAACATTTTCAAAGCTTCCTCTTCACTGCTTTCTTGCAAAAGCATTTAGCCTTCTTAGTTCCACTTACTGTTACACTCTTACAGAAGAACATAAGAGCCCTGCTGGATCAGGCCAAGGGCCCATCTAGTCCAGCTCCCTGTATCTCACAGTGGCCCCACCAGATGCCTCTGGGAGCACATGAGACAACTTGATACCCCGCCCCTGCATCTGGCATGTTGAGGTACCTTCTAAGCCTGGAGATTATAGATCCCCATCATTGCTTGTAACCTGTGATGGACTTTTACTCCAGGAATCTGTCCAATCCCCTTTTAAAGGCATCTAGGCCAGATGCCATCACTACATCCCGTGTTAAGGAGTTCCACAGACTTAACCCACTAAGTAAAACACTGGTGCCTTGCATAGCGACGATAATTGGGGCAGCAAAAATCGCTGCAAAGCGATTTCGTCGCTATGTGATATTAAAAAGTCCATAGGAATACATTGAAGCCCCTTCAATGCATTCCTGTGGGCTTCAGACTCACCTTTAAGCGAAAATCCTCTATACGGCAGCCATTTTCGCTGCCCGGTAAACGAGGAATCCGTCCCAGAAAACAGTGGGTGGTCATTTTGGAACTGCCGATCAGCTGTTAAAAAATCATTGCTTTGCGATGGTAAGCGAAACAGCGTACCGATCATCGCAAAGCAATTTTTCCCCATAGGGAACATCGCAAAGCGATCGCAAAAAGTTAATTGCTATGCGATTTCATCGTTACACAGGCACCCGTTAAGCGAGGCACCACTGTATTTTATTTTGTCTGTTTTCACTCTGCCAACACTCGAGTGGATGTCCCTTGGTTCTAGTATTGCGTGAGAGGGAAAAGAGCTTCCCTCTATCCACTTTGTCCACCCCCTGCATAATTTTATAGGTCTCAATCATGTCCTCCCTCAGACTCGTTTTCTCTAGACCAGCGATGGCGAACCTATGGCATGCATGCCACAACTAGCACACAGAGCCCTCTCTGTGGGCACAGGAGCAATAAGTCACCATCGAGAAATACCCATCCGATCCCGGATTTTGGCTCTCCCTTCTGCTGGTCCAGTGGTCCAGCGGAGGGGTGCAATGGTGACCATTACTGGTCTAGCCAGTGGGGTATTGGAGGATCGCTAAGTAATTCTTTGTTAATACCACCCATAGGAAAAACAAACAAACAAGCATTTAGCCCTTGCAGTGCAGGAGCAGGTTTTTTTTTCTAAACTAAAACCTCAGTACAGTGGTGCACCGTATACGACGGGTTTTAATTTCAGTGTTGGCACTTTGAAATAAATAAGTTGATTTTCTGTTGCAGTTTGGGCACTTGGGCTCAAAAAGGTTCACTATCACTGCTCTAAAGAACCCCAAACACTGTAGCCTTTCATCAAAAGAGAGGTGTCCCAGTCCAGTCATCATTTGAGTCACTCTCTTCTGTACCTTTTCCAGTTCCACTATGTGTTTTTTGAGGTGCGGCAACCAGAACTGTATGCAATACTCCAGGTGCGGCGTTACCAACATTTCGTACAATGGCATTATAATATTGGCTGTTTTATTTTCAATCCCCTTTTTAATAATAGTCATTAAATGAAAGAGCCAGTTTCTGATTGCCCATTCAGCCTTGAAGCTGCATTGGCTCATGCAATCACACTGACTGAACTGATGTGTGAGGGTTCAGTAGTTTGCTCCAACTCTTTTTCAAAGAATGCACCCACTCTCCTTGGTTTAGAAATGGAGGTAACATTTATTGGGGTATTCAACAACAGTTCAGTGTCAACAAAAGCATTCCAGACGTTCCCCCCTTTCGACAACAGGTCTGATGGGGGGGGGGGGTCCC